TGTGGCCTCTCCCGCTGCGGAGCACAGGCTCTGGACGCACAGGCTCAGCAGCCATGGCTCATGGGCCCAGCCACTCCACGGCATGTGGGATCCTCCCGGACCGGGGCACGAACCCATGTCCCCTGCATCGGCAGGCGGACTCCCAACCACTGCGCCACCAGGGAAGTCCCTGTACGCTGTTCTTTAGGTCTGTAAATTGGAATCCTAAATGTGAGTCATGACCAAATGTTTAGGTATTAAGTAAAAGTAAGACATTATAACCTAAAGTTATTAGCATATTAAAATGGTGCTAAGGGTTTATTTCCCTTTCTCATTATGCTAATTCCAGTAAGGAAGAAAGCCTTAAATTCATTTCTTTAGTACATTTCCCTAATTTAAAGTATAACTTTTTAAAAAGCATATGATATGTTTTTAAAGTGTTATTCTCTTTGACTTCCAAATTAAGACATTTCTTTCCAAATTGTGACAGGAAAAAGTAAGTGTCTACCACTAGAAAGTCACATTTGTTTTAAGAAGCTGCTAGTAGATGAGGTATGGAAGAGAACATTTATTTTTATTCTGCAAAGTTTTGAGGAGGGCTATTCTTTTTTTTTTTTTTTTTTTTTTTTTTAAAGTAGACCCTCAAGGAGTTGAGAAAAAGGTGGCACCGTCTTGGTGACTCCACTCCATGGGCTGAAAATCAGCCACTGGGACTGAGTGGCACAGGCCTAGCTTAACTTCCTCAAATGCCAGCAGTTCTAGAGAAATCTAGATGCTAGAGCCAGGCTGGTTAGGTTGGGTCCCCATTACTGTTCTTTTAATATTCTCTTAATGGAAATCACAGTACTAGCATCCTTACTTCAGAAAAGCAGTTTTCTTTTTTGGAACCAAAAAACATCACACACAGACTAAAGAAAGAACTAATTTATTCAACCTTTATCTGATGTTAATATCAAATATAATATAATTTATAATATAATTAATCATATTAATATAATTAATAGAGTATAATATATTCATATAACTCCTGCTTTTTTATCGCCATGGCTCACAGGCCCAGTCGCTCCACGGCATGTGGGATCCTCCTGGACCGGGGCACGAACCCATGTCCCCTGCATCGGCAGGCAGACTCTCAACCACTGCGCCACCAGGGAAGCCTGAGGGGGGCTATTTTTAACCAAACAATATTTTGTGAATGTGTTACTTTCACATTGTAGTATTAGTACTAAGGGAATTATCCTGTAGAAAAAAGAGAAAAGACATTCCTTCTTAACACTGTGCAATGGTTATTAGCAATATCTCCCTGATTCTAGCACCAATTGTGTTTCTGTTACAAAATAGCTCCATATGCTTTTTTTCCCCAAGTGCTCTTTAAAAGACACATTTTTAAGTCAGCTTGTGGATACTTTGTGTGTATTTCTTTAATGATTTCCATCTTAAAGCAAGTTGCCTATGTTACAGTCTGTAGATAGCACAGAGAAGTTAGAAGAGAATTAGATTCAATGTTGGAATAAAATGATGAAAGTCCTGTAATTCGTGTGCTGCATCCTTTCACTGAGAATTGAAACTATAAACATTGGCATCTGCTGTCTTAAACTTTCTGGGGCTATTACTCAGCTATCGATTATTTCATTCATTTATGTCTATGCTTCAAACTTGACTTTGGGGATGCTGAAAAGGCTGGCTACTGCTTCGGAACATTTCAGTCACTGTAGGAAAACGACCACCTCTCACCCAGCAATTTCCATATTACCTATGAGCAGCACCATACTAATCACATGGGTTTGGGTTGAGCTCTTAGGGCCTACAGTTTTCCTCAGTTCCTGAGCCTTCTCCCCCTACACCAGTTAAGACAGCCCACCCACCAGGAATGATTTCACCCCAGGTGCTTCCTCTTATTTGATTAATGTTATGGGCACTGGGAGAGAATACTCTATTGTTCCTTAATGGAAACTAATTTTTACTGTAGGCATCTTATACTTGTTGCATGATTAAATAGTGGTATATTGTGAATGTGTAAAGGGCAGCTGGCTTCTGCTGCTTCTCTGTGCTTGAGAGGAATCGATAGTGACTGCACATCAGAATCACTGGTTGGAGGTAGGGGTGGAGGGATAAGTAAATACCCTAAGTGATAGGGTCCCACCCCGGACCAATAAATCACAATATTTGGAAGTGGTATTTCTTCCAAGCTTTCCAGATGATCCCAATATACTGTCATTGTATTGTATACTGGAACCATCAAGCTGAATCATAAACTGGGGCTCATAGTCTCTGGTCTGGGATATAAACTGTCAACTAGGGAGGCTTGTTAAGTGCACTGAGCTCTGGAGTTAAACAGTGCAGTTTCTGATTCTGTGACCTTGAACAAGTTACCTCATTTCTCTAAGCCAGTTTGCTTACCTGAAAAATGATGCCCACCTCAAACTTCAAAGGACAGGACAAGGACCACAGTTCCCTCAAGATCTTATCTTGTTTTTCGGGTTTTTAACCTTATCTATAACGTGCCAAGCATACAGAAGAAAACTGAGAACTTAGGCCAATTACCTAGCAGTTATCTGTCCAACTACCTGAATATTGGTTTACATCTAGATTTAAAATCTGCATATGTCTACATGTTTGAGAGAATATTCCAATTTCTTCCATGTTCCACAGCAAGCATGGCCACTCCAACAGGTCAGCATGAAAGAATTAAAAAAAAGCCAAAAGTGGGGCAAAGCTGAGGACAGACACCAGGAAAGCCACTCAATGCTATGTTAGGGTAGGCAGGAAGAAACTATGTCAAAAAGGGAGTCAAGAGCCAGGTACCAAGTCTGAACAGGTATCTAAACAGGAATCCAAATGGTGATCTGCACTGAGGACCTTCAGTAACTGCCAAAGAGGCAAAGCGCAGGAAACTGGAAAAACTGGATAACACTGCACATTCTGTAATTTGCTGTGTTAGAGTCCTATTGAAGGTCTAATTTCGAGGGCATGTTAATACAGTTCTTAATGAAGCCATATTTTGAGCCCAATATCTGACAACACAAATATCTGATTTAAAGGCATTTATAAGCTAAATCCAGAGAATTCAGCTTGAACTTGGGTTCAGGAGGTTAACTCCAGATTAACAACGACAACAACAAATGTCAAGGCTATTCAGACTCTTTTCTACTTTTATCTGTAAATAAGTCAAAAGATTTCAGCACATGACGTATACAAATAGCTTCAGTATGGTCGATGTGATAAACAGGCTCATCAGTGTACCGTGTTTATAGATTAGAAGACTCAATATTGTTAAGATGTCATTGTCCCCAAGTTGGTCCACAGATTCAATGAAATCCAAATCCAAGCAGGTACTTTTTTTTTTTTTTTTTTTTAAAAATTGGCCAGCTGCTTCTAAATAAACATGGGAATGCAGAATATTTAGAATAGCCAAAATAACCTTGGAGGAGGGCTGGGAAATACAAAGTTAGAGAACTTGCCCTGAACCTTAAGTTTGTGGATACCTAACAGAACGTTTGCCATAATAATGCCTCATCTTGTACATTAAGCCTAACTTTTTTTTTTTTTTTAAGATGTTGGGGGTAGGAATTTAGCAATTTATTTATTTATTTTTGCTGTGTTGGGTCTTTGTTTCTGTGAGAGGGCTTTCTCTAGTTGCGGCGAGCGGGGACCACTCTTCATCGCGGTGCACGGGCCACTGACTATCGCGGCCTCTCTTGTTGCAGAGCACGGGCTCCAGACGCGCAGGCTCAGTAGTTGTGGCTCACAGGCCTAGTTGCTCCGTGGCATATGGGATCCTCCCAGACCAGGGCTCGAACCCGTGTCCCCTGCATTAGCAGGCAGATTCTCAACCACTGCACCACCAGGGAAGCCCAAGCCTAACATTTTTTGAAAAAGTCAATTTACTAATTACCACACCTCCACACAGGATACTAAAATAATAAAACTATATTTGTCCTGAAACACTATATGCACAGCATTCCTCAAAGTGTGATCTGGGGACCACGTGCAGCAGAATCACCCTTGAGTTTCCTTAAAATATTGACATATGGATTTTCCCAGACCTAATAAATCAGACTTTTAGAGGTGGGCTCCAGGAATTTCTATTTTTAACAAGCTTCTCAGCTGATACTGAGGTACTCTAGAACTTGAAAGTGACTCCCCTAGTATTTATTAGGTTTTTCCCTAAAGGACAGCGGCCTTTTCCTATATTCACCTGAAGAGATGCTATCTTCACACAATTTTGATACCAATAAAAAAGTAAGACTTACCTTCTCTGGTGGGTGGTTAGTTATGAGGGTTGTAGCTCTTTGAGTAAATACGTTTGTTGAATACATATTTTTATACCCTGTTGCAATTTCTTCATCATCTCGAAAATCAAGAGCACATCGTGTAACATTCAGAGCGTTGATTAACGTACAGCGCTCATGGGAATAGTAATCTTCACTACCTAGAAGGTATCCTACAAGGAGAATGGGAGATGAAAGTAGTCAGCATAGCATAAAACATGTTAAGCAAACGAAGGTCTCAGCATTTAATTGTCTAATGCAATTGATTATCCATGTCAGGGCTAATCAAATGACAAGGCTAATCAGAGCACCATTTCTTAACATCTCTATATTTGCTAGCATAAGGCATTAAAATGTTATTGTAAAAAAAATTCAAATCCACCCCTTAGCCAAGTCTTTAGAATATAAGCTCTATCATGTAACTCTCAAAGTGGGTGATTCCAAGTAAACATGTTTTTAAAAATCAGAGTTTAAATTCAGTTAAGGTGATGACATTTTAATCCTTTAAAGCTATCTAATGGTTAAAATAGCATATGGTTCAGGTGATTTGTTACAAATTTTTACTCTGAGGTGATCACATAAATGAATGCAGAATTCAAATAACGTTGATATTGACCTTGGTCGACTGGCTTCAAGGTTATTTACAGAAATTTAGCTCTTGGAGGCATCATCTTTAGTTAGATGCTGACACCCACTGGTGAAAGACACAAAGATTTCCAAACAGAGGATCTCTAAACATAACAACCAAAAAGAGCAAACTAACATGTGGTGTTGAAATTAGATTTTTCTACGTCTGGTGATCTCAATTTCACCCCCAATTTAAATGGCATCAATGGCCTATCCCACAATTTAGACTTAAACATGGGAGAAATGTTTTCTCAAGTTTAGTCGTTCCTGCAAATGTTCCATATTTTCCTAAAATATTAAAATAAGCTGTGCTGCATGTTACATGATTCTATTTATATGAAATGTTCAGAATAGGCAAATCTGTAGAGACAGAAAGTAGGTTAGTGGTTGCCTAGGGCTATGAGGGTCAGGGGAAAATGGGGAGTGACTGCTAATGTGTATGGGGTTTCTTTTTTGGGGTGATGGAAATGTTCTACATTTGGATTGTAGTGACAGTGGTACAACCCTGTGAACTTATTTAAAAATCAATGAATTGTACATTTTAATGGTGTGAATTATATGGTATGTGAATTACACCTCGATAAAGCTATTCAAAAGAAATAACTGTGCTGGACTCTGAGCTATCTCCTGACAAACACTGCTTATTAACATTAAAATGAAGATAATAAAATTGGCCTCTTTCCCCAGTTCTAAATATTTCTTATAATCACAATTAAAAGCCCTACATACCTTACCTAGTAAATGAATTCATTTTAATTTCCTCCTTTTCCATGATTCAGTAAATCCAAGGTCCTAAATACAATGAATATCTTAGTTTTAAGATAACTCTTTAAATGGTAATCTTTCCTCCTACATGTATAACAGAAAGGGAAAGCCAATGTGTTTGCTAATTAATGTGTAATCGAAAAACAAATGTATCCATGAAAATAATTTCAGTCCTTATATGGGTAATTAAAGGGGTCAGGACACTGGTGTTCTATTTGGGGTTAGTAACTGCTGGTAACACCTTGAAGAATCACTTCAGGTTCTTTATCTGTAAGAATAAACTGTTTTCGGGCTTCCCTGGTGGCGCAGTGGTTGAGTGTCCGCCTGCTGATGCAGGGAACACGGGTTCGTGCCCCGGTCCAGGAGGATCCCACATGCCGCGGAGCGGCTGGGCCCATGAGCCTGCGCGTCCGGAGCCTGTGCTCCGCGGCAGGAGAGGCCACAGCAGTGAGAGGCCCGCGTACTGAAAAAAAAAAAAAAAAAGAATAAACTGTTTTCTATCATTTGGGGAAATACATGCAAATGATATACTTGATAAAAAGATGTATAAACCATAAATATTAAAAAGTTAGTACAAATAGGATTCCAATAGAACTGTTTATTCATATAACAGAACTATCTATTCACATACTTGGCCAAACTAATACCAAGCAACCATGTGTCAGTCACATAGAACTTTCTCATAACAATGATTCACAAATTTGAACTTACATGCTGAGTCTAAAGAAGATGGCAGTGATGCTTTTGGGGGAAAAATGAGAAACTATGTTTTGAACAATTAAATCTCTGACTGCTGTATTTAACAGCTTTATTGAGAATAATTCACATATCATGCAAATCACTCATTTACATTGTACAGTTCAATGGTTCTTAGTGTACTCAGAGTTGTGCAACCAGGCCCAAAATCATCTGTTTTTTAACAGAACATCTAAGTCACAACAGTGGTAACAACTGCATCGTCATCATGCCCTCCTTCTCTGCAAGTCTCCCTTCCATGAATGTGCGGTGGGGTGTCTGTCTGTCTAAATCCACTTAGGCTTCTTAATTCTCATAAAAGGATGTTATTTCCACCTCTGTCCAACTGAATTTTTAAATATATAATTTGGTTTAAATATATAATTTTAAAATATAAAATTTGGTTTTTAATAAAAACAATTAAAATATCCTTCCAGTTGCCAGAGTACAGGTATCGAACCATCGTTAAGCAAAGACCTGATTGAAACTGTCAAAGGATATAGAGGCTGTTTTTTCCTCTAGAATTTCCAAGATGACAAAGAGGTCTTACACCCAAGTCCTGTTTTTAACAGCTATTTAAGGATACTGAGGATATATCCAGATTCATCAGGGAAGAATGCATTATTGATTAAGCAATGTCTGCTAGAGAACCCAGATGGGAGTGGGTCACACGGTGTCTCACATCTGGATGTCCTTACATCTCGACTTAAACTGTGGTTCCAACTAGGCACTATAGAGCTGTGAGCTTCAACTGCACTGTGTGGGCCCCATATAATCACTTGAACTGAAATGTACTTTGGTGCTCTGGTCCTAGCTTGAATAAAAGAGAATGTCTCAAGATACATCTATAAGACAACCGCCATTTTATGACTAAAATGATGTTTTTGAGGATGCTGTCACCTTACCTTCTCCCAAAGGAGAAATTTCTCTCAGGTCTAAGAGCCAGAAAATGCTTTACTCTTCCTGAACATCTGGTTTCCATTTAATTTATAAGTAATTTGACTCTTATAGACTGCTTTTTTTTTTGCTTTTTTTTTTTTTGCTTTGAGCATAAGAAGTCCCAAATCTCAGAGTTGAATGTAAAGTCTGCTACAGCCAGGCAGGTGTTTTTTTTTTTAAATAACTCGGTGCCAAGCAACTATTCCATCTTTTTCTATTCATCCTGATTTTTTAAAAATAGATCTTTATTGGAGTATAATTACTTCAAAATACTGTGTTAGTTTCTGTTGCACAACAAAGCGAATCAGCCACATGCATACACATGTCCCCATATCCCCTCCCTCTTGAGCCTCCCTCCCATCCTCCCTATCCCACCCCTCTAGGTTGTCACAAAGGACCGAGCCGATCTCCCTGTGCTATGCTGCTGCTTCCCACCAGCCAACTATTTTACATTCGGTAGTGTACGTATGTCGATGCTATGTCAATGCTACTCTCACTTTGCCCCAGCTTTGCCCTCCCACCCCATGTTCTCAAGTCCATTTTCTATGTCTCTCTCTTTATTCCTGCCCTGCAACTAGGTTCATCAGTACCATTTTTTCTTCAGATTCCATATATATGTGTTAGCATACAGTATTTGTTTTTCTCTGACTTATTTCACTCTGTATGACAGACTCTAGGTCCATCCACCTCACTACAAGTAACTCAATTTCGTTTCCTTTTATGGCTGAGTAATATTCCATTGTACATATGTGCCATATCTTCTTTATCCATTCATCTGTCGATGGACATTTAGGTTGGTTCCACGTCCTGGCTATTGTAAATAGTGCTGCAATGAACATTGTGGTACATGTCTCTTTTTGAATTATGGTTTTCGCGAGGTATATGCCCAGTAGTGGGATTGCTGGGTCATATGGTAATTCTATTTTTAGTTTTTTAAGGAGCCTCCATACTGTTTTTCATAGTGGTTGTATCAATTTACATTCCCACCAACAGTGCAGGAGGGTTCCCTTTTCACCACACCCTTTCCAGCATTTATTGTTTCTAGATTTTTTGATAATGGCCATTCTGACCGGCATGAGGTGATACCTCATCATAGTTTTTTGTTTTTGTTTTTGTTTTTTTGCGGTACGCGGGCCTCTCACTGTTGTGGCCTCTCCCGTTGTGGAGCACAGGCTCTGGACGCGCAGGCTCAGCGGCCATGGCTCACGGACCCAGCCGCTCCATGGCACATGGGATCTTCCCGGACCGGGGCACGAACCCGTGTCCCCTGCATCGGCAGGCGGACTCTCAACCACTGCGCCACCAGGGAAGCCCCATCTTTGATTTCTTTCATCAGTGTTTTATAGTTTTCTGAGTACAACTCTTTTGCCTCCTTAGGTAGGTTTATTCCTAGGTATTTTATTCTTTTTGTTGCAATGGTAAATTCGAGTGTTTCCTTAATTTCTCTTTCTGATTTCTCATTGTTGGTGTATAGGAATGCCAGATATTTCTGTTCATTAATTTTGTATCCTGAAACCTTACCAAATTTATTGATTAGTTCTAGTAGCTTTCTGGTGGCACCTTTAGGATTTTCTATGTATAGTATCATGTCATCTGCAAACAGTGACAGTTTTACTTCTTATTTTCCAATTTGTATTCCTTTTATTTCTTTTTCTTCTCTGATTGCCATGGCTAGGACTTCCAAAACTATGTTGAATAACAGTGGTGAGAGTGGACATCCTTGTCTTGTTCCTGATCTTAGTGGAAATGCTTTCACCACTGAGTATGATGCTTGCTGTGGGTTTGTCATATATGACCTTTATTATGTTGAGGTAGGTTCCCTCTATGCCCATTTTCTGGAGACTTTTTTTTTTAATCACAAATGTGTGTTGAACTTTGTCAAAAGCTTTTTCTGCATCTATTGAGATGACCATATGGTTCTTATTCCTTAATTTGTTAATGTGGTGTATCACATTTATTAATTTGCGCATATTGAAGAATCCTTGCATCCCAGGGATAAATCTCACTTGATCATGGTGTATGATCCTTTTAACGTGCTGTTGTATTATGTTTGCTACTATTTGTTCAGGAGTTTTTCATCTATGTTCATCAGTGATATTGGTCTGTAATTTTCTTTATTTGTAGTAGCTTTATCTGGTTTTGGTATCAGGGTGATAGTGGCCTCATAGAATGAGTTTGGGAGTATTCCTTCCTCTGCAATTTTTTGGAAGAGTTTGAGAGGGATGGGTGTTAGCTCTTCTCTAAATGTTTGATAGAATTCACCTGTGAAGCCATCTGGTCCTGGACTTTTGTTTGTTGGAAGATTTTTAATTACAGTTTCAATTTCATTACTTGTGATAGTACTGTTTATATTTTCTAATTCTTCCTGGTTCAGTCTTGGAAAATTGTACCTTTCCAAGAATTTGTCCATTTCTTCGTGGTTGTCCATTTTATTGGCATATAGTTGTTTGTAGTAGTCTCTTATAATCCTTTGCATTTCTGCAGTGTCATTTGTCATTTCTCCTTTTTCCTTTCTAACTTTGATTTGCATCCTCTCCCTTTTTTTCTTGATGAGTCTGGCTAAGGGTTTACCAATTTTGTTTATCTTCTCAGAGAACCAGCTTTTAGTTTTATTAATCTTTGCTATTATTTTCTTTGTTTCTATTTCATTTATTTCTGCTCTGATCTTTATGATTCCTTTCCTTCTACTGACTTTGGGTTTTCTTTGTTCTTCTTTCTTTAGTTGTTTTAAGTGTAGGGTTAGATTGTTTATTTGAGATTTTTCTTTTTTCTTAAGATGAGATTGCATTGCTATAAAACTCCTCTCTTAGAACTGCTTTTGCTGCATCCCATAGGTTTTGGGTCGTCATGTTTTCATGACAATTTGTTTCTATGTATTTTTTGATTTCTTCTTTGAGTTCTTCAGTGATCTCTTGATTATTTAGTAGCACACTGATTAGCCTCCATGTATTTGTTTTTTTACAGTTTTTTTCCTGTAATTGATTTCCAATCTCACAGTGTTGTGGTCAGAAAAGATGCTTGATACGATTTCAATTTTCTTAAATTTTCCAAGGCTTGATCTGTGACCCAAGATGTGATCTATCCTGGAGAATGTTCCATGTGCACTTGAGAAGAAAGTGTATTCTGCCACTTTGGGGTGGAATGTTCTATAAATATCAATTAGATCTATCTGATCTATTGTATCATTTAAAGCTTGCATTCCCTTATTTATTTTCTGTTTGGATGATCTGTCCATTGGTGTAGGTGGGATGTTAAAGTCCCCTACTATTATTGTGTTACTGTCAATTTCTCCTTTCATGGTTGTTAGCATTTGCCTTATATATTGAGGTGCTCCTATGTTGGGTGCATAAACATTTATAATTGTTATATCTTCTTCTTGGACTGATCCTTTGATCATTATGTAGTATGCTTCCTTATCTCTTGTAACAGTCTTTATTTTAAAGTCTATTTTATCTGATACAAGTACTGCTAATTCAGCTTTCTTTTGATTTCCATTTGCATCGAATATCTTTTTCCATCACTTCACTTTCAGTCTGTATGTGTCCCTAGGTCTGAAGTGGGTCTGTTGTAGACAGCATATATATGGGTCTTGTCTTTGTATCCATTCAGCCAGTCTATGTCTTTTGGTTGGGACATTTAATCCATTTACATTCAAGGTTATTATTGATATGTATGTTCCTATTACCATTTTCTTAATTGTTTTGGGTTTGTTTTTTGTGGGTCTTTTTCTTCTCTTGTGTTTCCTGTTTAGAGAAGTTTTTTCAGCATTTGTTGTAAAACTGGTTTACTGGTGCTGAATTTTCTTGGCTTTTGCTTGTCTGAAAAGCTTTTGACTTCTTCATCGAATCTGAATGAGATCCTTGCTAGGTAATCTTGGTTATAGGCTTTTCTCTTTCACCACTTTAAGTATATCCTTCCACCCCCTTCTGGCCTGCAGAGTTTCCACTGAAAAATCAGCTGATTACCTTATTGGGATTCCTTTGTATGTTATTTTTTGTTTTTCCTTGCAGCTTTTAATATTTTTTCTTTGAATTTAATTTTTGTTAATTTGATTAATATTGTCTTGGTGTGTTTTTCCTAGGGTTTATCCTGTATGGGATTCTCTGTGCTTCCTGGACTTGGGTGACTATTTCCTCTCCCATGTTAGGGAAGTTTTCAACTATAAACTCTTTAAATATTTTCTCAGACCCTTTCTTTTTCTCTTCTTCTGGGACCCCTATGATTCAAATGTTGGTGCGTTTAGTATTGTCCCAGAGGTCTCTGAGATTGTCTTCAATTCTTTTCATTCTTTTTTCTTTATTCTGCTCCTTGGCAGTTACTTCCAGCTCACTTATTCATTATTCTGCCTCAGTTATTCTGTTACTGATTCCTTCTAGTGTATTTTACATTTCAGTTATTATGTTGTTCATCTCTGTTTGTTTCTTCTTTAGTTCTTCTAGATCTTTGTTAAACATTTCTTGTATTTTGTCAATCTGTGCCTCCATTCTATTTTCAAGATTCTGGATCATCTTTACTATCATTACTTTGAATTCTTTTTCAGGTAGATTGCCTATTTCTTCTTCATTTATTTGGTCTTATAGGTTTTTACCTTGCTCCTTCATCTGTGACATATTTTTTGCCATCTCATTTTTTTTTTTTTTCAATAAGTGGGATTGTGTTCCTATCTTACTGGTTGTTTGACCTGATGCTTCTAACACTAGGGTTAGTAGGCTATTGGGTAGAACTGGGTCTTGCCTGAGATGAGGAACTCCATGAGACCTCACTCTGATGAATATTCCCTGTGGTCTGAGGTTCCCTGTTAGTCCAGTGGTTCAGACTCAGAGCTCCCACCGCAGGAGCTTCGGCCTGACCCTGGGCTTGTGAATCAAGATCCTGCAAGCCACCTGGGGAGGCAAAAAAAAAAAAGAAAAGAAAAACCAAAAGAACAATAAAAAAGTAAAAAATAAAATTAGGCTAGAAAACTAACAGGAAGAATATAAAAACAAAAATATAGATGAAGCAACAACTGGAATATACAACACTACCACAATAGTAAAAAAAGAGAAGGAGGGGAAAAAAATGTGGGGGGGAAGGCCTTGGCTGTGGAGGGTGGGGGCTAAGCAAGGGTGAGGTTTGGGTGGTAGGCAGGGCTGATGCTCAGGACCCACGGGGCTGGAAAAGGCCCTGGAGGGTGTGCTGGGGGGGGGACGGTTAGGCTCAAGGAACATAAGGGACCCAGGTGTACCCCCCAGCCCTGGTCTCAGAGGTCAGGGGACCTCACCTGGGAGCCCAGCAGGCTTCCTGGGCTCAAATGGGCAGGGCAAACACCCTCCACTCCTCTCCCGCTTCTCCCAGAGGGCCCCTCCTGCCTGCCTCTCCTAATCTCCCTAGCATCAGGGATGCCAATCCTGTCTAGCCTCCACTTCTCCCCCTTCAGTCCCCTTACGTCCTACTGGTTCACTTTGGGGCTCCTCCTGTCCCCTTGGGTGTCAGAGTCCCCCACCAGTGGCCAGCAGGTGCCCTAGCTGTGGGGAGACACTAACTCCACCTCTTCCCATACCGCCATCTTGACTCCGCCTCCTCTCACCCTGATTTTTTAATTCTACTTATTTTTTAAAAATTTATCTTCATTGTGTGTTCCTTTTTGTATATGGCAGTTTGTAAATAAATGAAGAGACAAATGGGAGGTAGGTAGGGAGCTAAACAGCTAGACAGATAAAATAGAATAGCTAGATGGAAAGCAAAATATGAGGGAGAAAGTTGGGGGTGAGAGGTGGGATGAACTGGGAGATTGCGATTGATGTATATACATTAATATGTATAAAATAGTTATCTAATAAGAACCTGCTGTATAGCACAGGGAACTCCACTTTGCTGTACAGTAGAAACTAACAAACATTGTAAAATAGCTACACCCCAATTTAAAAAAAAAGCAAAATATGAAAAGAACTTGACAGAAAGCCCCTGGCAAGATAAATAGATAAATAGGTTGTTAAGAAATGGTTTGTAACAGGTTTAAATAGAGTATATATTTTTTTTAAAAAACTGTAGGCTTTACATTTATTTTTATAGGGCTATCAAATCCATAAAATACTTATTATTTTGTATCTTTCCTATTACCATTTGTTATTTACCCTCCCATTTTCTTTATTTGATCTATCTTCCCCAATCTAGTAATTTCAAAAACAGATGTCACAGAAGGAAAGAAGGATGCCAATTGGAAAAGAGTCTTCTTTATCATCTCCAGGAAATACAAAACAAAACAAAACCTTTGAACACAATTCACGAGGAGAAAAAAAGGTCCTGAAGCTTTGTGAAGGAAATATTCTTGTATTGGGTTTTGCCTGGAATTTTTTAAAAAAATCAATCTGTATCCCCTTTTGGTAATAAGGTTCTCTAAGAGTAGAGTGGTCTCTGACTTGGAGGTAGCAGACTCTGCAAAGGCCCCTACGTGGCATGTAGAAGCCTGGCAAAGATAACTGCCTGTCCCATCACGAGCTGAGTGCACAGCCATGTTTACGGTCGTGGCATTAGACAGTGGCCCCAGGGCAGTGCTGACTGATTCACTCTGTGTTCAAGTTTCCAGTTATTTCATTTGATTACACTTGGCTGTGTTTTATGAGATGGCTGCAGTTGGCCTGAGTTGTTAAAGAAACATGTGCATTTCCATTACCAAAGTAGGTATCAAATCCTCGGCGGGTTGGAAGACATTCTTTCCTGTACATTCCCAGGTGCCATTTTCCGACCATGTGGGTAGCGTAGCCTGCTTCTTTTAGAAGCTGGGGCAGGAGTTTTTCATCCAGAGGAATGCAGCTGGGCTGACATGGCCAGATTATTTGGTGCTGTAAACCTGTGTGGATCTTAAAATAGATAAACATAAAATTATGGATTAATGATGTTGAAACATTCTGAACAAGCAGATAAAGTGGTTGCCTAATTTACTGGACATACGTGTAAACATGAATGTTTAATTCTATTTCTGTACCAGTTTAAGGCATTTCTAAAAGGCATTTTTCTCACTTATTTGAATAAGGTAATAGACATAAATAAGAATTTGAAAGAAATGAATAAAAACAGTCTAACAAACATTAGATAGTTTCAACAAATATTTATCCAGGAACTATGTTAGAAACTGTTAAGTTTTCACTTCTTACCTCAAAAAAGTAGCCATAATATGAAGTGTGGCTCTATCAAGGAAAAAGTGTTCCAATTTCTATGCACATGAGATGTTGGTGTTTGATTAGAAGCTTCTATAATCTTTCAAGACTTGATTTTTTAAAAGGGTATAATGAAGATAATGATTTACATTTCTTATTCTACCTTACATAAAGCATAATTGCAAAAGACAGTGACCAACTTTTCCTTAAAAAAAAAAATTGGCCATCTGATCCATAGGTTAGGAGTGGCTCCCACAAGTATCACCAGGGTGCAAGCACAACACAACTAATTTTAAGAAATTATCATGTGTTGAGTCTCGGTATAATATTAAAATAGAATACACACAATTATATGAAAAGGTTATTAAAATAACTCTGTCTTGGGGACTTCCCTGGCGGCACAGTGGTTAAGAATCTGCCTGCCAATGCAGGGGACTCGGGTTCGAGCCCTGGTCCAGGAAGATCCCACATGCCACGGAGCAACTAAGCCCATGCGCCACAACTACTGAGCCTGCGCTCTAGAGCCCGCGAGCCACAGCTACTGAAGTCCGCACACCTAGAGCCCATGCTCCGCAACAAGAGAAGCCACCGCAACAAGAGAAGCCCATGCACCGCAATAGGAAGCCCGCGCACCGCAACGAAGAGTAGCCCCTGCTCACTGCAACTAGAGAAAGCCATGCACAGCAATGAAGACCCAATGAAGCCAAAAATAAATAATAAAATAAATTTATTAAAAAAAAAAAAACCCTCTCTTTTCCAACTACATATCTGTGTGAGGCTGGATGTTCTTCAACAACTTTTACCAAAACAATATACAGTTGACCTTTCAACAACTGGGGGTTAGGGGCACTAACTCCTGTGCAGTTGAAAATGTAAGTATAACTTTACAGTTGGCCACATCCAGGGATTCAACCACAGATCATGCAACATCATAGTACGTATTTAGTGAACAAAATCCACGTATAAGTGGACCCTCACAGTTCAAATCCATGTTGTTCAAGGGTCAACAGTATTGCACAGGTTGAATGCAGAAGCAGATGTAACAATCTAGCTATCTTCTATTAATAGGAAACGTACAAAAATATAAAACAGGGAGATTGGTTCAAGATGGCAGAGTAGAAGGACGTGCGCTCACTCCCTGTTTTGAGAGCACCGGAATCACGACTAACTGATGAACAAGCATTGACAGGAAGACACTGGAACTCACCAAAAGAGATATCCCACATTCAAAGACAGAGGAGAAGCTGCAATGAGATGGTAGGAGGAGTGCAATCACAATAAAATCAAATCCTATAACCGCTGGATGGGTGACTCACAAATTGGAGAACAATTATACCACAGAAGATGACCCACTGGAGTGAAGGTTCTGAGCCCCACATCAGGCTTCCCAACCTGGGAGTCCGGCAATGGGAGGAGGAATTCCCAGAAAACCAGAATTTGAAGGCTAGTGGGATTTCATTGCAGGACTTCAACAGGACTGGGGGAAACAGAGACTCCACTCGTGGAGGGCACGAAGAAAGTAGTGTGTGTATCAGATCCCAGAGGGAAGAAGCAGTGACCCCCATAGGAGACTGAACCAGACCTACCTGCTAGTGTTGGAAGGTCTCCTGCAGAGGCAGGGGGTGGCTGTGGGTCACCACAGGGACAAAGACAGGGGCAGCAGAAGTTCGGGGAAGTACTCCTTGGCGTGAGCCCTCCCGGGGTCCGCCATTAGCCCCACCAAAGAGCTTGTAGCCTCCAGTGCTGGGTTGCTTCAGGCCAAACAACCAACAGGGAGGGAAGTCAGCCCCACCCATCAGCAGACAAGCGGACTAAAGTTTTACTGAGCTCTGCCCACCAGAGCAACAGCCAGCTCTGCCCACCACCAGTCCCTCCCATCAGGAAGCTTGCACAGGCCTCTTAGATAGCCTCATCCACCAGAGGGCAGACAGCAGAAGCAAGAAGAACTACTATCCTGCAGCCTGTGGAATGAAAACCACATTCACAGAAAGATAGACAAAATGAAAAGGCAGAGAACTATGTATCAGATGAAGGAAGAAGATAAAACCCCAGAAAAACAACTAAATGAAGTAGAGATAGGCAACCTTCCAGAAAAAGAATTCAGAATAATGATAGTGACGATGATCCAGGACCTCAGAAAAAGACTGGAGGTAAAGATCCAGAAGATGGAAGAAATGTTTAACAAAGACCTAGAAGAATTAAAGAACAAACAAGCAGAGATGAACAATACAATAACTGAAATGAAAAATAAACTAGAAGGAATCAATAGCAGAATGGCTGATGCAGAAGAACGGATAAATGACCTGTAAGAAAGAATGGTGGAATTCACTGCCGCAGAACAGAATAAAAAAAAAGATTGTAAAGAAATGAAGACAGCTTAAGAGACTTCTGGGAAAACATTAAATGCACCAACATTTGCATTATAGGGGTCCCACAAGGAGAAGAGAGAAAGGACCCGAGAAAATATTTGAAGAGATTATAGTCAAAAACTTCCCTAACATGGGAAAGGAAATAGCCACCCAAGTCCAGGAAGTGCAGAGTCCCAGGCAGGATAATTCCAAGGAGAAACACACCAAGACACATAGTAATCAAATTTACAAGAATTAAAGACAAAGAAAAATTATTGAAAACAACAAGGGAAAAATGACAAATAACATACAAGGGAATCCCATAAGGTTAACAGCTGATTTCTCAGCAGAAACGCTACAAGCCAGAAGGGAGAGGCATGATATATTTAAAGTGATGAAAGGGAAGAAACTACAACCAAGATTACTCTACCCGGCAAGGATCTCATTCAGATTCGATGGAGAAATCAAAGCTTTACAGACAAGCAAAAGCTAAGAGAATTCAGCACCACCAAACCAGCTCTACAACAAATGCTAAAGGAACTTCTCTCAGTGGGAAACACAAAAGAAGAAAAGGACCTACAAAAACAAACCCATAACAATTATGAAAATGGTAATAGGAACATACAAATTGATAATTACCTTAAATGTGAATGGATTAAATGTTCCAACAAAAAGACACAGGCTCGCTGAATGGATACAAAAACAAGACCCATATATATGCTGTCTACAAGAGACCCACTTCAGACCTAGGGACACATAGAGACTGAAAGTGAGGGGATGGAAAAAGATATTCCATGCAAATGAAAATCAAAAGAAAGCTAGAGTAGCAATACTCATATCAGATAAAATAGACTTTAAAATAAAGAATGTTACAAGAGACAAGGAAGGACACTACACAACGATCAAGGGATCAATCCAAGAAGAAGATATAACAATTATAAATATATATGAACCCAACATAGGAGCACCTCAATACATAAGGTAAATGCTAACAGCTATAAAAGAGGAAATCGACAGTAACACAATAATAGTGGGGGACTTTAACATCTCACTTACACCAATGGACAGATCATCCAGATAGAATATTAATAAGGAAACAAAAGCTTTAAATGACACAATAGACAAGGTAGATTTAATTGACATTTATAGGACAATCCATCCCAAAACAGCCAACTACACTTTCTTCTCAAGTGCACATGGAATATTCCCCAGGATAGATCACATCGTGGGTCACAAATCAGGCCTTGGTAAATTTAAGAAAATTGAAATCATATTAAGCATCTTTCGACCACAACGCTATAAGATTAGAAATCAATTACAGGGTAAAAAACGTAAAAAACACAAACACATGGAGGTTAAACAATACGTTACTAAATAACCAAGAGATGGTTGAGGAAATTAAAAAATACCTAGAGAAAAATGACAACAAAAACACGATGATCCAAACCTTATGGGATGCAGCAAAAGCAGTTCTAAGAGGGAAATCTACAGCAATACAATCCTACCTCAATAAACAAGAAAAATCTCTAATAAACAATCCAACCTTACACATAAAGGAAGTAGAGAAAGAAGACCAAACAAAACCAAAAGTTAGCAGAAGGAAAGAAATCATAAAGATCAGAGCAGAAATAAATGAGATAGAAACAAAGAAAACAACAGTAAAGATCAATAAAACTAAAAGCTGGTTCTTTGAAAAGATAAACAAAATTGGTAAACCTTTAGCCAGACTCAACAAGAAAAAGAGGGAGAGGACTCAAATCAATAAAATTAGAAATAAAAAAGAGAAGTTACAATGGACTTCACAGAAATACAATGCATCATAAGAGACTACTACAAGCAACTCTATGCCAATAAAATGGATAACCTGGAAGAAACAGACAAATTCTTAGAAAAACACAACCTTCTGAGACTGAACCAGGAAGAACTAGAACATGAACAGACCAATCGCAAGTAATGAAATTGAAACTGTGATTAAAAATCTTCCAACAAACCAAAGTCCAGGACCAGATGGCTTCACAGGTGAATTCTGTCAAACATTTAGAGAAGAGCTAACACCCATCCTTCTCAAAGTCTTCCAAAAAACTGCAGAGGAAGGAACACTCCCAAACTCATTGTATGAGGCCACCATTACCCTGATACCAAAATCAGACAAAGATACTACAAAAAAAGAAAATTACAGATCAATATCACTGATGAATATAGACGTAAAAATCCGTAAGAGTACTAGCAAACAGAATCCAATAACACATTAAAAGTATCATACACCATGATCCAGTGGGATTTATCCCAGGGATGCAAGGGTTCTTAAATATATGCAAATCAATCAATGTGATACACCATATTAACAAATTGAAG